GGGGGGGGGGGGGGGTGTTTAAAGGAATTCTCAGGAAAAAACGGTTCAGATTAAATTAAAGCGAAGTGTCTATCACTAACTTAAAGATAAAAATTCTTACAAGACACTGCAGTTAGCAAAACAAAATAAAAAAGCAAACAAGAAATTTCAGAATTAAAGCATACGAGAAACCCAGATATTTGGATGTGCATATGGAAATGCACAAATTTCCCAAACTGCCTTAAGTAAAAAAACAAATTTAGCACTCTGCCTCATAGCACTAGCATGAGGAAATCAGAAATTCAGACTACTTTAACTCATCAATAAAATACAGCAATACGCTACAAGAACTAGACAGATTTATGTTTAACTGTAGTTATTGTGCCACCTCTAGCCTTACAAAATGCCACACCACAGAAAACGTTATTTAAAAATGTCCTAAATGGAAGTATCTCACCAAAGGCAATCATTCCCCACTCCTCTGTAAGGGCCCCACCATGCAAAGTTACTGAGACTGCTGAGCACCCAGGGCAGTGGATTGAGCCTTATGATGCTCATTCCAGTGTCATTACTTGCAACCAGCAAGGGACACATGAATCCAGAAAAGCCAGTGCTCAGGTGCATATTTTTATACTGCTTGTGAACTCTACAAGTTCACTGGCTGTTTAAACCATAGGGTTGAGACCTCTCAAAAGCCATTTTAAAAAGTTGATGATCCAAAACATCTTACAAAGTAGCTACCAAAGAGTCAGAGAAAAGATGGGTTGCTGTCACTGTCCAAAAGCAATATTAAGGCAGCATGGGTAGCTTAACTGTGAATTTGTATATTTTCAAATGCTTGAGTTTCTTGAAAGTTTGCTCTAAGGTTTGCTGCCCATTTAATGGATACTTTTTGCTAGTCACAATTGGCTTGTAACAATTTTTACCTAGAAAAAGTTTTACAATTTGTCTGAATCATCTGCAGTTTCACCAGTATATGGAACCACTAGAAAAATGAATTGTTTCGTTCGATGGGTTTTGCTCTGAGCTATTCCCAATCTCTTCATTCAACTTAAAAACGCACAATATCTAGAGTGCTTGTTTCTCTCCTAGAACATTAGTAGGTTGTAAAATAGCTGAAGATCTGAGCTAGGCAAAAAGACTTAATATGACTAACACAAACATAAAACTCTTCTCTCTGACATCTGACTCTTGCAGTTACCCTTCAACTCCAAGATCACCTTCTTCATCACTGTTCTATCACTAGCACCACCACCCTCAAGTGTACAATGGATTCTGTTTTTCTATTGTACCACATTCAAGATGACATTCTGCCTTTCAAGGCAATACACGGCTCTGCCTCACATCTCATCTCTAGTTGCCTCCCTTCCTTTCAGTGCAATTTCTATACTATGCAAATTTGACTTTTCTACAAGATACTACTGGGGGGGACCATAACCTGAACCTGCCCAAAGCTTGATGCCCTGGGAGGAGTGGGGGAGAGAACTAGTCTCTCTTTCTTATACTTCATACACAGAACATCTTCACCAAGTGTGAGCACCAGACGTAAAATTTGTCTCAAAACACAGTTCCATTTCCAACACTGTCCTCCACTCCAGTCCTCACTCCATTCCCAAATAATAAGGGAAGATTTACAAAAGCAAAAAGGGTAGTTAAGCACTCTACATCTCTTGAGCATCAATGATGAGAGCACGGCCACTCTTTGGGTGTGTCTAGACTACATGCCTCCTTCGACGGAGGCATGTAGATTAGCCAGATCGGGAGAGGGAAATGAAGCCGCGATTATTTTAATCGCGGCTTCCTTTAAATTTAAATGGCTGCCCCGATCTGCCGACCAACAGCTGATCGGCAGATCGGGGCAGCCATTTAAATTTAAAGGAAGCCGCGATTATTTTAATCGCGGCTTCCTTTAAATTTAAATGGCTGCCCCGATCTGCCGACCAACAGCTGATCGGCAGATCGGGGCAGCCATTTAAATTTAAAGGAAGCCGCGATTATTTTAATCGCGGCTTCCTTTAAATTTAAATGGCTGCCCCGATCTGCCGACCAACAGCTGATCGGCAGATCGGGGCAGCCATTTAAATTTAAAGGAAGCCGCGATTATTTTAATCGCGGCTTCATTTCCCTCTCCCGATCTGGCTAATCTACATGCCTCCGTCGAAGGAGGCATGTAGTCTAGACACACCCTTTGTGTGGGTCCCCTTATTACAAAATGACAGGGGAGACCAAAGATGCTTATGTAACGGTAATCGTTTCATGTTCATTTCCATCCTCTCACACGTTGTTAGCTTTTGTTATGCTAAACATAATTCAAAATTGTTACATCTGTTGCCACAGCAGTTCTCAAACTGCAGGTCAGGATCCCAAAGTGGGTCCTGACACCATTTTAATGGGGTCACCAGAGTTGACTTAGACTTGCTGGGCTGATGCCTGAGCCTCACACCAACACTGAAGCCTGAAAGCTTCAGCCCTGGGTGGCAGGACTCAGGTTACAGGCCCTCTTCTTGAATTTGTGCTTCAGCTTTGCCTGCCCAATGTAATGGAGCTTGGACTTCGGTTCTCCCACCCACTGCAGCAAGGTATGGGCAGAGTCAGGCTTAGGCCTCCCCCACTGTGATCATGCAGAAATTTTTGTTGTGGGATCATGGAGCAATGAAGTTTGAGAACCCCCGCCATACCACATCATTGTCTACAAAATCCCAAGCCTGTCTGTTGGACTGTATAACTTATGCAACACGAGAGAGGGATGATTTGTGACTACAAGGGATGGAGCCTTTCTTCTCATTGAATATTTACATATATTTACATACGTATATTTACATCATGACTGTCACTGACATCAGATGTTCAATAACATCTAATCGAACAGTTGTGTAACCACATCAAATATCAGCAGTTATACAACTATTTGATAGTCCCCGGGGGCAGGGCTAGCAGCTGGTGCACTCCCAGCCCCACTCCCAGGGAGCCCTCTACCAACGCCTGCCACCCTGCATTGCCGCCTCTGATAGAGGTAGTAATGTAGGATGGCAGCAGGCCGTGTCCGTGAGAGAAGGAGGTCTAAACTCCCTGTGGACAGAGGCTGCTCCATAGAATACCAGAGTAGCCTCTGTCCGCAGAGTTCAAACCCACTGCAGAGAGGGGCTGTTGCTGTGGAGCAGCCTCTGTCTGTGGACAGCCTGGGCCCGCATCATGGCAGCCTCCCCTACCACCGCTTCAATGCTGCTGCTTCTGTTAGAGGCAGTATAGCAGGACGGGGTAGGCAGCCCCACAGAGCCCATGCTTCAGGAAACTGGTTTTTAAGACAGCTGTCCCCAGCTCCTGACTGCCCCCGCCCTGCCACCTTTGTAGGAGGCAGCAAGGGAGGCAAGCAAGTCTGCAGAACTAGCTTAGTAGCCAGCTCCCTGCTCATATCAGTTCCCACCTGATCCCCCTCAACCTCCATGCTGTGCCTATCAGCGTGGGGAGGTGGATCGGGTGCTTGTAGGGAGCCCACTTTTAAGCGATAAACCCAATTAATTGTGTAGTCAGCTACACATTGACATCCCTACAAAGAACTGAACTAGACATGGAGACTCAATTTACTCTATAATGGAGCAATACCTAAATACATATACAATCTGGGGTTAAGTGACTAATTTAAGGTTAACTAGCAAGACTGTAGCAAAACCAGGAGGTTAATTTCTGTTCCTTGATTTCAAGGCCAGCTGTACTTGATCAGGTTGACACTGTTTCCTCTTATAAACTACAACTACTAGAATTTGAATTAATACTCTATTTGTGCTTATCTATTGTACTTACACTGTAAATTTCTTGAGAGCAGGGACAAGTCTTTTTTGTTCTGTGTTTGTACAGTGCATATGACACTGTATTCCGGGTGCTATGGTAATACAGCATTTCACTATGTATGGCAAGGACTGAAGCATAAATATTTTAGAAGAGTGAACATTAAAAATTATGTATTTACAATAAAATGTGTTTAATATTAATGAGAATATAATGGTATGTTCCATGCCAGTTTATTTTTCTTTCAAGGGGAAAATACTACACAAAACATTCCCCGTTTATTTTGTACACCTTTAATAAAATGTCCCAGTCCCCTGCTGATTATTAAGAAGCTTTTATAAAAATCTTCTTGCATGTTTGCCTGCAGAATAGATTGGCCCAAACCCAAACTCCGAAGAGCCATAATCGATTTTAGCATTCCACTCATCCCATAATGCATCTCATTGGACAGGCTTGCCCAAAACCAGATTCACAGGACAAATACATGCCAGCAGTTTGTGGAATCCTGTGCTCCTTTCTACAATGCTTGTTTTACAGCACACCTGTAAGGGACTAATACTCCTCACTATCCGACACAATCTGGCACAAAAACTGATGTGGCCTATATAAGTACTGATATTAACAATCTTGACTTTCCCAAAAGTTACTGGTCCATTTTTAATTTTAATCAAGATTTCTATAGGAAAGTATAGTGAGCATTCTTTGTTACCCTCCTTTCTTTATACGGTGCATTTTATACAATTTTTTTTATTTTTAAACAAAGACAAATGTTAATATTTTTAAATGATGATACTTGTTAAGCAGGGTGTGCGCCACAGATAGAGCATAATAGATGCAACAATAAAAGGACAGCGAGAACAAGACTTCAGTCATGTATAATGCAGATTCATGTCTGTGCTCTTTTGAGAGTCTACAACTTCTTTTTTACTTCTTCACTGGATCACTTACTTTCAACTTCAACATGAAGTCAACACTAACTAAAATAGATGATCAGAAATGAAGAATATAAAAATATAAAATTTAAAGTCTGCTTAAGATAATTAAAAAACATTCAAGTATATTTCAAGTGAAGAATAAAAAACTGCCTCCAATTCATCAGTGAACACATCATCTTCACGTGTTGATCAGTATCCATTAGTTGTAACAATCCATGTTGGCAAACTATTTTGTCACCTAGATTTCTTTAAAAAGTTTTTTGTTTTTAAACTTTGCAGGTCCACTAGAACATTCAGAAGTTAGATCCAGTAACTCCACTTTTTAACGTCCTCTTCCTGTTTTGAAAGAGAAAAGTGTATATTATACAATTTATGTCATGAAGAAAATGTATAATTTACACAAATATCATACTGAGAAGCTAGCAATTGCAGTATCCATTCTTATACTCCATTTTTGCTGAAGTTAGCTTTGGTCTTACACAGAAATGCAGAAAACTGAACATGGACTAGACAATCCGTTGCAATGTACAGAAATTACCATACAAGTAACTTTTTGCATAAAATGTGTAGAAATGTGCTCGTCTTTGCAAATCTGATGAAGTATTCATTAGCTGTTTTATGGTCCTTAAATTCGTTTTAAAACACCCTGAATTTAAATAGTACTCTTACCCCTAAAACCACGGCCACCACCTCCACCTCTTCCTCCTCTAAAGCCTCCACCTCCTCGTCCTCCTCTGAAGCCACCTGTAAAAAAGCAAGGAATTAAGTTTTCAGAAGTTAGTTTGCAACTCTGTTCTGTACAAAGAATGTAACAAGTTACTGAGCAAAGATCTTCTGCATGACAAAATGCAACTTAAAAATAACTTATTTTGAAAAAGACACCATTTTCAAGAAACCATAACTTTGAAACAAATGTTTTATTTATATGAAACTTCTCAGAAATTATCTACACTTGGAGAAGATGCAAAATAAAGTTTCAGAGCAAATTTTTCTTTGGAGAAACTAGATGTTTGTGTGTACAGAGCCATGTCAGAGAAAAATCAGTCTTTTAAACAGTGACCTAGTTTCAACCTTACTTGTGGAGCAGCTACCACAATGAAATTAAATGTAAAAAATAGAGCTCTACAAATCCATGAATATCCTCTTCATACCCACAGGTATTTGCATCCATAGCTCATTTTTGTGAATACAAATTTTGGATCTTGAACCCTGCAAATTTGTGGATATCTGCTTTATATGGACATGGATAGCCACGGCTCATTTTTGCAGAAACAAATGTTGTATCCGCGCAGGGCTCTAGTAATAGAGATGGAAGCAATCTAGCAAATCATCCAACCCAACACCCCAAAGCAGTTTACCTTACACTATATATTTAAGTATTTTGTCCAACCTCATTTTTAAGTATATTGTGAAATGGGGCTTTTGACATCAACTTTGGGAGAATATTTCATCACCTAATAGATTGTACCCCCGGAATATTATCGCTGGCATTCACCAAGTTATTTTTCTTAATCTCAATCCTTTATTTCTGCTAGGAGTCATACTTCACTTGCTTTCACTGAGGTCTCAAACAGAAAAATATGTTTTAAAAGTGTGTTTCTTTTAAAAATATCTACTGAAATAATACAATTAACTTGAGTGCTTGAATGGCTATAAATTTTTAGTAAAATTTGATGCAACTGTATTTTTAAATAGACACTTACCTCCACCTCTTCCTCCACCTCTACCTCCTCCTCTTCCACGTCCTCCTCCTCTACCACCTCCTCTTGGAGCACCCTTCTCACCTGGAGGCCTTGGCAAAAATCTTTGCAATGGCAACAACTTTGCAGGGTCAATATAAAACTGCAGGAGAAAAATCAGTTAGGCTCAGGAACAGCATGACATGAGGGCAATATTCCCCACTTTCCTCCCTCTTTTCGATACATGCAGATTCTGAGCTTACTTTTTACATCACCGCCATTTTTAACGTCTATTTTGTAAAGAGTGACACCAAACAAAACTTTTAAAAATATAGTTTGTGTCAAGAATTTAAAGTTATTTCTGTAACCGGATTAAGATTTGTGGTTAAAGAAGAGTACATTTTGCAAAGACATGTTTAAAAAAAAAAGTTAGCTAAAAAAAGTGTATGTAAGAGCAGACAGGAAATGAACACAAAATTTTCAAACCATTTAACTATCAGTGCTAACAAAGGACTACTAACTAGAGAAATTAACAGATTAAAGAATTTCAGTGTTATGTAAAAAAGAGAAAAAATTCCTTATATGAGATTATCTGTATATTAAACCAATGCATAACAAAAAAAATACTTTTCACTTAATCTAAAATTACATTTAATTTTGATGTGGTGACAGGAAATTCAGATTATTTAAAGGTTTTTTGGAAATTGTTCAGAATGCTATTTATTCTTCTCTCACTGAGTATCTCAAAATAAGCAATTTTAAGCAATTATGGTACTCACCTTTTGTAATTTTTTAAATGAAGATGCCTTCATGTTCTCAGACAGTTTAACTGAAAAATACTGTTAGTTTTTTTTAAGGACTTTAAAAAGGTACACTCTTCTGGAGAGTATGGACAGATGTTGGAATTCTAAAAATTAGATTATTCAAATCACAACAGGATGATATTTTTTTTCCTTACTGGTACACTTACAATTAATGTAAGAGAAAGATTAAAGAAATATTTCTATTCTTTTTGTTTATTTTGTGCATTTGACAGCATTTTATGGATAGTTTCTTTCTTCCATATTAATGTTTAACCCAGCAACAAACCAACGGGGGGGGGGGGGGGGGGAGGAGGGGAGGCTAAATATTACTACAGGTTGGACCTCCTGGTCCAGCACCCTCAGGACCTGAGGGGTCCTAAACCAGAGTTTGCCAGACAGAGATCGATGCTCCCCTGCTGGCTGCCCCACTCCCGGGCTCCTCTCCCTGGAGCTCCCAAGGCTGGGCTCCCACCCTGCTGCCTGTTCGCTGCCACCAGAGGTCCCCGGGACTGGCTCCACTGCCACTGGGGGTACCCCAGGAAAGTCTCCCCTGATGCCACCGGGCCCCGCTCCCGCCAGAGGTTCCTTTGCCAGGGCCATCTGGCTATCCCAGCCCCGCTGCTACTTCGGATTCCCATTTCCCCAGCCGGGGCTCCTAAGCCATCTGGCCCTGCAACTGCCTGGGGTTTCCTAGCCATGGAAGAGGCTCCAATGATTCCACAGGCTCCATGGCAGGGGTGGGACTTCCCATCCCCTAAGTCCCGCTGACACCAGGATTTCCTAACCTGGCCAGGGCTCCGCTGCCTGGCCCAGCCGCTGCAGCGTTCTCATGGCTGGCTGCCACTCCTGGGTCCAGCAACATCACTAGCCCTACCACTCCACAGATGTTGCCAGAGCAAAGAATTCCGGATTTGGGAGTCTCATCAAGCAGTAAAATGTTATTGCATAACCACACATCTGTAGTACAGGTGAACCTCTTTAGTCTGGCACCTTAGGACCTGACCAACGCTAAATCAAAGAATTTGTTGAACTACAGAAGGTCAGTATTGTCTGGCAGAATTACCATTATTTCCACTGTTTTCTGGGCTCTTAAATGACATTTAGGGGTAAACCAGAACTAAATAACTACATAGAACACTGAGATCCAGGACTGGTGGCTGTAAACAAACTCTGTGGGACTGTGGGAAACTTGGTCACACCCATGATAAGTGGACATTTAGTTAACTGAAATAATGCCGGACCATGGAGGATGCTGGACCAGAGAGTGCCGTACTAGAGATGTTCAACCTGTACTTCTATTAGACAAAAGTCAAGAAAAAATTGAGTTTTCTACTCTCTAAAAGAAAAAGTCTCAGGGCTTCTCTAACAGAAAAATTATATCAATACAAGTAAAGTTCTGGATTTAAAGGGATATAATTATGGTGGTAAATCTCCTCTTGGTAGAAATACTTACCCCAACTAGGAATGTAAAATCCTGATTACTCAATTAACTGGTTAAAGGTTAGGTTTACCAGTTAGCTGACTAAGTGGGATCCCAGGTGCGGGAACCACTGCGGCCCAGATGGAATGGCAATGGGGCCGCCTGTCAGCTTGCCTGGCCCTGGGGCTGGGGTAGCCTGCTGGTCCTCGTTCACATCCGTAACCCCAACTTTATATATCTTTTTTTTTTTTTAAGTTTAGCTTATGTGACTTCGGAAAGAGTTTAGAGTAATTTTTTTAAATGACTTCATTATACCAAAATAAACGTCCACACCATATTGGTCTACCAGTTTCACCAGTAAACACTGTCATGTACACATGCCTTATGCAACTCTCCTCAGTAATTAGCACAAGTATCCAGAACTATTTACTTTTGAAGGATACAAAATCTCTTAGCTGCCCAAATATTTCATCCACTTTGCCAATCTGCTCTTTATTATCCAAGTAAACTGGTGCATTGAAATAAGGCACTCTGTTTTCTTCTGTCGTACATTTACAAACAATGTCATCTTCACAAGGATGCATGAACTCGCCCAATACTGCCGTTAAGAAAAAAAAAAATACTGAAAACTGGAACATTCATTACAAACTAAAATGAATACAATCTTACCATCTAACTTACTAACTACACTTTCAGGAGGTCCTTGGTCATATCCTCTGTTGAAGCCTCCGCGCCCACCACCTCCTCGTCCAAAGCCACCTCGTCCACCACGATTGAAGCCACCTCCTCCACCACGATTGAAGCCACCTCCTCCACCACGATTGAAGCCTCCTCTGCCGCCTCCTCCTCCATATCCTCTGCCGCCACCTCCACCTCCTCTGCCTCTAAAAGACATTTTCTACCTGATAAACAGTCAAGAGAGAGGGGGAAAAAATCCGTCACTTGAAAACCAAAGGTCAAGGGCTCTTCACGACTTACTAAATTTCCAAGTCAGGGAAGACCCCAAGTACCATAAGCTTCATTTGCTGACTTAACATTTATTGATTTGGCTCTTAGCTGAAATACAAGATCATGGATCATCACATATTTCCATCTAAAATTAAAGCTACTGCAAAGTCATTAAACAGAAGGAAAGGCAAGGATTTTAAACCAATACTTCCTAATCATAGTGCTATCCATCTGTATGTATGAGATGACAAACTTTTCTCCCTTCTGTTTTTATGAATGGACATTACAATAGATTTCAGTGATTATACAAATGAACGATTGCCACAAAACAAGAATGAAAGATTTAGCATACAGTTGTATTTTTTGTCCCGAATGTCCCAAAGAGGAATCCTAATTACTCCCAGTATTGCTACAGTCTAAGTAAAGGTTGAGTCTAAGTAAGGGCAAGTTGAGGCAGCTTGTAATTTTCATCTGCCTAGGAAGAGTGAATTTGGGTGTGTCTATACTAAGGATGTTAGATAGCAATTAATTTAATCATTTTAGTGTTACATGATTATTTGATAGTCCCCAAGGGTGGGACCAGCAATCAGTGCACTCTTGGCCCCTACTCCCATGGAGACCCCTGCCACTCCACACTGCTTCCTCTGTATCAGAGGCAGAAGTGTGGGGTGGCAGATGAGAGGTGGTCCGTGAGGAGAGCCAGTTTAAAAAGCTGCTCCCTGCACAGACCAGCTCCCACCTGCAGCCCCACATTGATGCCTCTGATCAAGCGTGGCAAAAATATTGTGGGTGACTGTATCAAAAGCTTTGCTAATGCTGGCACTGGGGCTTTGGGAGGACCAGAAACAACTTATTTGAATATTCATCATTTGCTTAAGCAATATGCAAATGAATGTTACCAGTCCTCCAAAAGTTCGTGAATGGATTTACTAGTCCTCGTGTCAAAAAGTTTGGGAACCCCTGTACCAGCTCATTGCAAAACTACTAACTGCCTTGTCTGTACTAAAACTGTATAACAAGTTAGCTGAATGGAGCTGACACACCTTTACTGGCAGACACAGACAAATGACTTCAGCATATTACACACTGCAGGCTTTTCACATCAGCCTGAGACCAGCTGGGTTGAGGCATTATTAATAACACACAGATGATGAATTATATTCAAAGCTCATTGGGGGGCTCTCTGCAGGAATCTCCCCATCAATATGCAAACAGGCAAACTTTTACAAATAAAAAATGAATAGAGATCCCCTTGAGATGTTCAGAGCCCTACACAATTGCTTAGTCTGCTTATGATTAGCACTGGTTCTATGTTTATTAATCAACACATCCTGTTAGACACAAACTGGACCTAGCCTAAAGGGCCAGCTTAGACACAAGGCGCTGCAGTATTTGTGCACACCTGGGACCTGACTCCAGAACCCCAGGGTTTTCTCCTTTACTCTTCCCAACACTAGCTAGCAATGGGGGCAGCAATTTGCAGCCACACGCCAGAGCAGCCCTGAGAGGCGGTTGGGTGGAGGGGGAGACGGGCAATGCACGGAGGGAGACCATCCCTTTTCCCACCGGGCTGGAGATGCCAGCAGCTCTAGGGAGCTACTCTGGCCTCATCCCAGGGATGTTACGCCGGCTCCGAAAGTCCTTTCACCGACAAGCACCCGCTTCCTGGGGAACCGTTTTGCGGCCGAGGCGTCCCACACGCGGCTGCTTGTCCGGCTGAGCGTGGCCAGCGCAGCAGGGCTGGGCCGCAGGGTGACCCGGCTGCGCTGCGGCACCCCCGTTGCCAGGCTCGGGAGTAGCAGCCCCGGCCCGGCGGGCAGAGC